AAACATAAAGTAAATACGCTTAGATACCTCCATTAAGCTGAAACCCGCACTATCGCACCTATCAAAAAAAATTTAACGCTATTTATATGCTAATTTATTATCCTAGTCTGAATTTTATTGAATTCGATTCGCGATGATGGGAGTTCCAATTTACTGAAAGTTACGCTTAGTTCCCCGTGTTTTTTTTACACGCGAATGATCATCACTTTGAATGACGTGAGACATTCGATATATTTGCTAAGTAACGAGAACGTCGCTGTTTCATGACAAAACCTTTTAGCAATCGATTTAATTCCCGTTCCGACCTTTTTACTGCGCGTTTTATCGCGCGACTTCGCGATGACGTCTACGACGTTATCGATCTTTCATCGGAGGGTCAGCGTTTCGATCGCGGGGAGAAACTATTGCAAAACGAGCTGAAAATTTGTAGTAAACGCGCGCGAGCGGTTGGTTAACGAACCGTTACCCGGTTCCATCCCCGGTCAACACGTCGATAGCGCTTTGATGTCCCATGATTGCACGACTGTCGGCACCAATCACTTTTCCGTACTACTCGTTACTACTTTGTCCGCAAGAAAACAGAAATAACCGTAGACAAAAGACGCGGGCGCGTTTGCGAAAAACGAAAAGCCGAGTACTCTCTGGAAATACTATTGTACTCACGAAAAATAAATTCCCTTTTGATCTTTTGAAGCGCGATGCATTTTATCCCTTTGACAAGACGCGTCGCTTCACTTTTCGCGATCTTTCCTTCTGTTTATCTGCACTCACTGTTGTGTCTATCGACGACAGTATAATGGAGATTCGGCAATTTAATCAAATCGTGTCTACATACGTGTAGAAATACATTTCAACGATACTATTGGGAATACATCGCCAACGACGTGACGGCCATTCGCAATTTGAAACGGCTAGATTCGATCTTTCTTCGCAAGTTTCGACGTAATATGAGATTTAGTGGCAAAACGTGCGAATCTCGCCGCACTTTTGGCAAGATAAGAATCTACTTACATGAAGGAAACGATTGGTAGTATCGGCCGGTGAGCTTTCCCAGAATTTGCAGAATTACGTCGTTCGAACTTTCGTTGATTCTACAAGAAAAAAGATATATTAATTTTTTTTTGTATTTAGCGTATTTTTCGAAAAGGCCAATTCAATTCTACGTACATAGTGCTTATGGAGTAGTGGTTTCCTTCTGTTCCAGACGGAATAACAAGCTCGTTGCACCGAGACGCGAGATTATAGCGCGATTCTTTTATGAAATCCGCGCAACATGATTCCGCGCTCAGCCGTAAAACAGGCACCGCTGAACAGAATACCGTCGGTGAAGATAAAGCGAGAAATATTCTTCCGGGATGTCGCGCGGGATGCTGAGAATCAGCGCAAACTCGCGCACCACCGTGTAATAAGTAGAGGCGGATAAGGCGAATCCGGAATTACAAATGCAAATTTTGTCCGTTTCTCCGAGAATTCCGGATTGTATTTCGGAGAGTTTAAAAGATAGCGGGGTGATTACGCGCACTCGCGGTTCGAGTTCCATTTACGTGAGAGATAAGCCGCGGTCGACGCCCGTTGGCACGTGAAAATTCACGGATCTTCAGAGAGAGAGAGAGAGAGAGAGAGAGAGAGAGAGAGAGAGAGAGAGAGAGTAGTAAGTAGTAGTA